TCCCCTCCCTCTCCCTCTCCCTCTCCCCTCCCTTTCCCCTCCCTCTACCTCCCTCCCCCTCCCCCCTTTCTCCGCCCACAGCTGAGGGGTTAGGAGACAGTCTGGGAGGAACTCCTCCTCCAAGGTGACTGACTGGATGACTGACCTGCCGCTGTCTGCAGAGGACCCAGGGGAGCCCCTTCCCTTGGGAGGGCTGGGAGGGGCCCTGGTTCTGTGCATCTGTGTCCCCACCTTTCCCTTTGGGCTGGGCCTGACCCTCTTGACATGGCCCCTCCCTGGCCAGGGGGGTGAGCACAGCTCTGTGTTCTTCTCTGCTGGGGACTCACTGCCCCTCTGGGGATGGGTAGGTTCTCAGGAGGGCCCCGGGCAGGGGGACTGTGGGGACTGGCTGGTCCAGCCGGCTGCCCTGGGACCTGCCACCTACTCTGGGGTACTTTGGCCTCCCCAGCTCGGGGCTGATGCTCGGAGCGGGTGTCACTTGGGCCCCTCCGCCTTAGGCCTGTGGTGGGCTCAGCAGTGTTTCTTGGCCGCCTAGGGGACCCCTGCACCGTGTCCTCCCAGATGGAGCTGGAGGAGGCCTTCCGCCTGTCCTGTCAACGCAAGGACGAAGGGCTCACCATTCACGGTCAGTGGCACTGGAGGGGTGGGGTGAGGTGGGACTCTCCAGGCTGGGGCGGTACCAGCTCAGCAGCCACCCCCAATCCCGGCACCGTGGCCGGACCACCCGGGGCAGCTGCCCCGTCGAGGGTCACAGTGTGAGATCTTAGGGGCCAGAGAAGCTGAGGGGGTTGCATGTCACGCGATTTGGGTTTCCTTCCCTCTTACATTTTTTTAACCCAAATAGAAACCGCTCTCACTGTAGAGGCCGTGAGGGGTCTTCTCCCTGGACACGGGGCCTGGGTTCTGGTCGTCAGTCCTGGTGCCGGCGTCACCCGTGCCTCAGCTTTGCTGGAGCTCAGAGGCTCTGGGCACAGGGCTCGTGCGGGCAGACCAGGGGACCAGGGGACCAGGGACCATGCCACCACACTGCCCGGGGTGGAGCAGACGCTCCCTGGGGTTTACCCAGCCTCTCGGCGTTCCTCAGCCCGTTAGGCTCAGAGCTGGGCTACAAATTGAAATATTGTAATCATTTCCTCATAATCTTTAAGTCGGGGGTTTTCAGACTGTGCTCCCCAGCACTTCCGGGCTTCTTCGGGGTGTCTGTGTGTCCGGGATCGCGCAGCCGCACTCCGGCAGCTTCTGCGGGCGTGCAGGGGCCCCGGAGCCTGCCGCCGCCCACCGTTTTCTGCCGGATCGTCCTTTTCTCTACTGCCCGGGCGATCGTTGGTCAAAATCCCGGATTTTTGTGGCTCTTCGTGTAAACGTGCCGTGTTTGTTTTCGGGGTGGCAAGCGCATCCACTGTGCCTCTAACACCGACCGCTCGGGTGCCTTAAGACTTCCGATTCCCGCTTAAGAAAGCATTGGTTTCAGCTTAGCTTTGATACCTTACGAGCGTCTGTTTGGGTAATTTACTGGGGAAGCCCGGCGGGGGCTTGAGAACATTTGGCTGTGAGCGCCGTCCGGGGCGTAGAGAAGCCAGGCCATGCGCTTTCAGAGGCCGGCGGTCAGGGGATCCCTCCGAGGCCGACGTAGCAGGCGGGCCCCTGACCTCCCTCGGCCCTCGGGAGTCCCGCAGAGGTCCGTTGGTCCCACGGACGTGTCTTGCCGAGCACCTCCCAGGAGCGGGTCCTCGGCGGGTGGCTCCGCGTGCGGGACGCCGCCGCCCAGCAGCAGGCTTCGTGCTCTTCGAGGGCGGGACAGGCGGCTGGGTCCTGACATGTGTCCTTTCTCTTTGCAGTTTTCCCGAGCAGCCCCGAGCAGCCCGGCATGCCCTGCCCAGGAGAGGACAGTGAGTACCGCCCTTTCCCGTGGCCCCTGTCGCTCGCCCCGGGCTCGTCCCATCTCCCCTCGAAGGGGCTGCTGGGTGAGCAGCTGCCGTGACCGCCTGTGGCGTTCTCACAGGTTGGTCCCCCGCCTCTTCCTGTGTGTGTCTGTTCTGACACACGATGCTGCCGTCGGGGAGGCGACCAGCTTGGGCACGTGGTGGCAGAGATCTAGGACACACCCTGGTCTTTCCCAGGACGGAAGGGCCCGGCTGGGACGGCGGACACTGCCCCGTGTGTCTGCCCCGGCTCACGGCCACCCCGGGCCAGTCCACGCTGGCCCCGCAGCTGCGACGGGAACTGGCCTGGGAGCGGACTCAGCGGACAGAGGCGGCGCTGAGTCTGCGTCACCCGTCAGCCTCGGTGAAGGCGCTGATGGGGGTTGGGTGCCTGAGCCTGGGGTCTGTGGGCGAAGTCGCGGGGAGGCGGATGTGGGAGCCCGTGGCATGGAGGAGGCTGGTAAAGCCACGGGCGAGAGCATCCGGTGATCAGGGCCTGGCCCTGGGGTGGGCTGTGGGGCCGCAGGAAGCCCCGGGTGGCGGGTGCCGGCAGGGGTGGAGCGGCGTCTGACGAGGCCCGAGCGGCCCTGGTGTGGCCACGGCAGGTGCTGGACACGAGGGCAGTTTGGGGAGCAGGGAGGTGAGGAGGTGTGGGGTGTGTTCTTGCTCATGCATTCCCGCTGTGCCCCTTGGAGCGGGTATCATGTGGCCGGGCAGAGGGACAGCGAGAGTCCTGTACGTCCTCGCAGGAGGCGGGTGACGAGGGAGACACAGTGTCAGGGTGAGGGGTGCAGCCTGAGGCCTGCAGGCGGAGGTCTGCGCGGACGGCCCGCCCAGTCCAGGCACAGCAGGTAACTTGTGTGACGTGGAGGTTTTCCGCGGTGGGGCTTGGGAGCTGCACGGATGGGGTCGAGGCAGGAGATTTGTGAGGCGATGTGCGGTGGGTGCCCGGAGAGACTCAGAGTGGGGCTGGGCGGGCGACCCCGTGACGCAGACGCCTGCCTGCAGGAGCCCGGGCGTCCAGACGGGCGGCTGGCACAGAGGCTCAGGGTCCTCCTCCCCGTCCTGCCCCTGCCGGTGCCCCTCCCTCGGGGGTGCCCACGTCCCAGGGAAGGGGGCGTGCACCCCATAAACAGCACCCTCGAGCCCCAACAGGTCCTCGCCGTGTGGGCAGGGGCCAGAGACGGCTGCACACTGGCGCCTGGGCGCGTCCAGCCAGAAGGGCCACCTTCGCCAGCCTGGCCTGTGTTCACGCTCAGTGAAGCACCTTCCCGCGCACTCTACTCAGACAGTCCACGTTAACTCAGTTTCACGGGTTTTAAAAAGTGGCGTGAAGTACACACACGGAATTCACTGTTCCAGCCATTTGAAGGGACCCCCTTCAGTGGCGTTCGCGCTGCTGTGCAGCAGCCACAAGCTACCCGCCCCTCCCCACCTGAGGAGAGAGAGCCTTGTACCCAGCAGT